TGAATGATTGACATTACTACTTAAATTCAAACTGTTGATGTATTGATAATTTTACAAATTATTTTTCTCATACACTGATTCAATATTGTATTCAGAATTTCGTCTTCAGGTCATCATATTTAATTCCACCCACGTTATAAATAAATCTAAGTATCAATGAGAGCTGTGAGCGTTGAGGAGTTAGGCAAATTCATAGAACAAACTAATAAACTCAGAATAATTTGAAGAAGTAAACAGCACTTAACTTTAGGAATAGTTTAGTTTAGGAATAAAAGTTAACAATGATGAGATACAGTTATTTCAAAAAGCATTGATATATGGTTTTACATTGCGAACCGGAAAATGAGTTTTACACAAATAGCTCTTTATAATTATTCACGAATCAGTATGGGCATTTCAGTGTATTTTTTTTACGAAAGCTTTGTTAGTGTGTTTTACACCTTTTTTTTCCCCATTAAAGTGATATAAAAGTTGGTTTATAAATACGCAGTTATAAGATGACAAAAAAAAGGAGTAAGTTATGATTTATCTATAGATTTCGATATATAAGTAATTAGATAAACACCCCCACCCCCATCCAGTGGCACAGCGGTATGTCCCTTGAACTGGAGTCTACAACCTTGGGTTGGGTCTACATGAAACTAAGTCTACAAACGAAGTGGGACGAGTTATTGAGTCAGCATTAATGGCTATTTCATTAAGTAACATATTTGCGATATTTTAATTTTCAAGTAAAGATTAACATTGACCTTAGGATATAAGTAAATTACTTACGTTTTCAACAGTCTTAGCAGTAAGTAAAGAAACCTTATCGATATGGAAAGTTTCATAAAGTTGGGCCTGGCATGGCCTGGTGGTTAGGACGCTTGACTCACAATCTACGGTTCGCGAGCTCGAATCCTACCACTGCACACATTCGGCTATGTGGGTCTTATGATGTGACGGTCAATCCTACCATTCGTTGACAAAAGAGTAGCTTAAGAGCTGGCGGTGAGAGATGTTGTCTAGTTACGTTCCTTCTAGTCTATCACATCTAAAGTAGGAACGGCAAAGATAGCCCTCGAGTAAGTTTTTGAGAAATTCAAAACACACAAACAAACAGATACAGAAATTTTAAAGTCATTCATAGGTTTTAGGACTCTTGAAATTGTAATTTCTGATTCTTATAATTTATTCAGCATTTTTTTTTTATCTAAAGTAATTCAAGCGCCTTCGTTTATTCGCCCTGAAGAATTAATTTAAGTCCTTCACTTTCCGCCATTGGAAAAAAATCCGGTGTTTTACTAATGCGCATTAATTAGAAAATAATTTGTGCAACTTATAGCGCATTAATTGGAAATCGCCACGTTGAGAATTTATCATTTCTCGAGTTCGCTGTTCCTTCATTGTTTCTCGAATTCGCTGTTGTACTTTGTCTCTACGTGGTTTTCTGCGACTATTTCGGTGAGTTTTCTAACAGTAGACGATTTTACCATAGTATATTACTCTACTCTTGTGAGTGTTGATATATTCTACTGATTTTCGAACTCCGCTGATATGTGAGTGCGTATTTTAGTATTGTCTTATTATTATTATTTATTTTTGTTTCACAAACCTACAGCAAAATCGGCTGGATATTTTGCACCAAAACCTAGACAGATATACTACATGAAGCGCTGCAAATGTTCATGATATATATTGAAAAAGTTGATTATTTTTCATTGAAAGTTGATTTAGGTTACTATAAATACATAATATAAGCGATGTTGTTGTTAGGGGGGCTTCCTTTGTAATCGACCCGTGTTAAATACATGTTTACGCGAAACCTCAGCCACGAAACCACCTGGCTCAGTAAATAATGGTTGTGTGGAAAAAAGCCAATGCAGCAGTAAACTGTTGAAGAACATGTAACATTCAACTGAATGTATATGCACTTATGTAGTTTCAAATTTATACACCATAAATGGACATAAACAGCTTAAGAAAACAAGATAATTAAAAATAGTTATTTTAAAAAGGGAAATAGGAATAGTCAAAAAGTAAAGCAACATGTTAAATCAAAATACAAAGATTATATTTTCAAGCCTACAACTAGGGACTCTTAAAAAAAAGTAAACAAAATAGGCTGGAAATAGTGTCTATGTTATTTTTTCAAGCTACAAATCCCTATTTTGACTCCACTAAAATTGATAATTACTGTAGACAGGGAGTCAAAATGGGAATTTGTAGTTTGAGAAAATAATGTAGACCTCTCCACTTGAATTGGTTTAATATTGAAATCTGAGTTTCACCCTAATAACGCATTCATAGCTCCAATGGGACGGGAACCATGGATCGTCGGATCCACAACTAGCCACGCTAACTACTATCAAAATATCACCAACGTTACAGGAAAATAATGTGGTAAAAAGATATAGCACCGTGAATGTGATATAAGAGGAGAATTTGGACTATTTAAGAAGTGTTTTCATGCGTGTGGATTAGTTTTGTTCTTGCTACATGTCCTGTAATGCATGAAATTAATTTCATTTGATCTGGTTAACCTTTAGGGTCATAAATGTCACTCTGATTAACTAAATTTTGTAGTTTATTATTTATGTAATGGCCTTAATGCATTTATGTGTATTGATATATATATATATATATATATATATATATAGATAGATAGATATTTCTCCATAAGCATTTTAATCTCGAATAAGAGTATTTTCCACTGCTGATTTAATTTTTTTAACTCAAGTCATCTTTGATGTAGAGTTTTATACATCCGATCCCAGGAAATTAATCAAACTTGCAAATGTCCACAAGTATTAACAAATCTTCTACCATTTAGACACTGACGGTGACTCCAAAGATATCCTCATTCCAAATTAAATTTATTTCACGCGTTGTAAAATAAACCAAAGCAATATTCACGAAAATAAGTCTCAATTAGTCAAAATTCACTTATTTTCACAATACTTCATCGTTTTGTCATATTATGTTTAATGTTTTTATCCGTATTACAGCTTATCCTCAACTTTTATTGCTTAGATGTTTTGATATGTCACGAAGGACTGTATAAAAAGGTTTTTTTGTCATCAAGAGATAATTCAATCACTCCAAAGTGTAGATTTGGCACTGTAATAAATTATTTGTTTGTTTGTTTGAAGTTAAGTACAAAGCTGCACAATGGGCTATCTGTGCTCTGCCCACCACGGGTATCGAAACCCGGTTTCTAGCGTTGTAAGTCCGTAGACATACCGCTGTGCCACGTGGGGGGGGGGGGCTGTGATAAATTCTGGCGAAATTCTGGCGTTTTTGTTTCAGTGGTTGATTCCTTCATTTTTCATAAATAATAATGTAAAAAAGTAAAAATATTCAAATATAATTATAATTCACATAACATTCTGCTAGAGAAGTTAAATATGATATAATGAGTTTTTATAATAATCTTATTCGCATATTAATTTTTTTGTACACAAAATGTAAACGTCCGCCATTTTACTTCTGTTGATAGCATTGCCCTGAAATTGGTGTCATAAAATTTAATTTTTATATGAATTTCAACGAAATTCTATCAGAATACTAACTGTGATTTCGACTTTCGATTACTGACTGACCTAGCTAGTTCGCCACCCAGCGGTATGTCTGCGGAATTACAACGCTAGAATCCGGGTTTCGATATCCGTGGTGGGAAGAGCACAGATAGCCCATTGTGTAGCTTTATGTTTAATTACAAACAAACAAACAATCTTGCTAGTTCTTCTTTCCAGCTTGGCCCGGCATGACCAGGAAGCTAGGGTGCTTGACTCGTCATCTGAGGGTCGCGGGTTCGAATCCCCGTCTCACTAAACATGCTCGCCCTTTCAGCCGTGGGGGCGTTATAATGTGACAGTCAATCCCACTATTTGTTGGTAAAAGAGTAGCCCAAGAGTTGGCGGTGGGTGGTGATGACTACTTGCCTTCCTTCTAATCTTGCGTTGCTAAATTCGTGTAGCTTTGCGCGAAATTCAAAAGAAAAACTTTCCAGCAATTGGTGTAAACTATAGTGTAAAGAACTGTCCTAAAGTAAGTATTAGGTTATTACGATTATATTATTATTAAAATGTTGGAGCTGTGGGATTACTGAGACGAATCTCCAAAAAATGATTTCTCAAACACTTGCTGTTGAAGCTAGCTATAAAGAAGTTGGGAACAAAATATATTTTCTATTTCAAATTATTTTTTGTGTTATTAATCTTATATTTTTATCATTTGAGTTACATCATTTTTATGCCATATTAACTTGTGTGTGTGAATGAAAAACAAATAAATCACGAAATATTATCGATTTCTTATAGACTATTCGACTAAACTAAAACACACGAGCGTGGGGTGGGTGAGTTGACCCTGTGGTTGAACTCTTGTTTTCAGAACTGGCCAGTCGGGTTCGAATCTGTGCGATACTACAAAATCTTTCCCGCACCTTAAGCTGTGGGTTAGTTATACGAGTGAAAGTCAGTCCCTTAACATGGTTGGTGGGTGATAGGATGCCTCTGACTGGCTGTCGTCCCTCTCTTCAGTAATATAAAATTAGGGACGGTGAAAGATATCCTTAGTAGGTTTTTTTTTATATAAATATAAAACACAAAGAATATGCGGAACACATTCATGTGAATTCTTGTCAGTGTTACGTAGCTTTCATAATTTACATGTTACAGCAATTTGTTGATGGTTTAGACAGAAAGTTTCCTGTCAATGCTTTTTTTTTTTCACAAACAATGTTGAATAATATTCTATATAATTAATTACCGATTTTCGTACAAAAATTTAGTATAACACAAGATATGAGATGTTTAAAACCAACAGTTGCGGTGTTAGCACATTGCTTAATTAGTAATATCTATTTATAACGCTTAGTAAGCTTTTTACATTCATTTATAGATAATACCTTGTTAGGTTATTGTAACATAGAAAATTTAACGTTATTATCTAATTTAAAGTTGTATTTTAGTTACTTATACTACCATAAATAAGACACATTTTTTTTTATTTTACAGAAAAAGATGTTCTTCTTTGTAGTTTTATTGTTTATATGGAAAATAGAAGAAGCGAGTCAGTCAGAACTTTATCCTGTACCCCAGCATCATGTTCAACCTCGCAGTAGTGGCTCATCCTTTGTGGATGATGCAACCGACGAGCTCTTCGGATTGTTGCTTGCCCCTCTAGGAAGCAAACGAAGTAATAGCAGGAGTAAGAAGAATAATCACAACTGGTCCAAGCTATTCGGAGGTGGCGGTCAACATTCTTCCCATAAAGGATCGTATCATAGACAACCAAACTATCATCGTGCCAGTTATTCGTCGTACGATCAACAGCGTTATGCACCTTCGTCTGAATACCTGAGTTATGGTTATCCTCCTACTACCACTCATAAAAAGTCTACAAGCTATCCCTATCCTACATCTAATGGTTACAAACATCATGTATCGTCATACGGTGGACATAATCATCATCCAAGTTATTCATCTGGCGACCACAATAAGCATCATTTGAGCTCTTCCTATCCTCCGTCAAGTGGTTACAAACATTCTTATTCATCTTCAGGTGGACAAAGCCATTATCCAAGTTATTCTTATACCCAATATGGCAACCATTATAAGCATCCCCCACCCCCTAAAAGGCATTATGAAGGCGGTCTTCAAAATTACGAACATTATCCAAGCTACCCTCCATCTTATCCCCCACCATATGGCTATCCGTATGGTTATCCAGCGTATGCGAATATAACAATGCATTCTCAAGGAAATGCAACAAACGCCACAACTTATCATTCTCCACCGCCTTATTATCCTTACATTTACCCTCCCCATCATAAATACCCTCCACCTCACAAGCCAAGTCACTATGGACCTAAAAAACCCAAATACGCGGAAATTGACACGCATCTGAACTTGCCTCCTGTTAAATTCAGGCTTCATCTTCGCCCAAATATCAAAATATTTACAAACACGACAGACCCATTGGAGAAAAAGCCAGATGATGAAGAAGACCTGCCATATCCCCCACCAGAAAGAGAACCTCCAAAGAAGTATCCTCCTTACCCTTATCATTCTCAACATCACGCACATCACTATCCCTCTCCACACAATACCCATCACTATCCCTCTCCACATAATACCCATCACTATCCCTCTCCACACCATTATCCTCCACCACCACCTTATCCTCCACCAACCTATCCACCACCAACACCGTCACATGGTAAAATCCACTATGAACCAAATTTTGCAATAAAGTTTGACCCCCAAGTAATTACTACTCCTGCCCCTCTTAATGACACGTATACCCCAATACCTGGATATGCTGGATATCCGTATCATCTTCCCCCACCTGGATACCCTCCTTATGGCTATCCACCACCCAGTTATGGACATCACGCACACCACCCTCAAGAACGTTCTTACAACCAAGATTATTCCTATCCAAACTATGCTAATCACCGCTATGATACACCTCCTCCATATCCTTATCCACCTTATTATGGTCATCACCATTCTGGCTACGGAGCAACCTATGAAAAGCCAAAAGAGAAAACCACTACTACTTCAACTACAACCACAACCACAACTACAACTACTCGCCGACCAACAAGAAGAACAACGACTCGGAGAACTACTACTACTAGACGACCTACAACTACTACTAGAAGACGAACAACCACGACCAGAAGACCAACAAGTACCACTACACGACCTACAACCACTACAAGAAGACCGACAAGTACCACTACTCGACTTACAACCACGACTAGAAGATCAACAAATACCATTACACGACCTACAACCACGACTAGGAGACCAATAACTACTACAACACGTAGAACAACTGCTCGTCCAACACTAAGATTTACCACAACCACTAGAACTCCACGATCTACTAGCAACCGACCCCAAATTGAACGGGAGGGAGAAAGGGGTAATCGTGTGAACAATATGTCAAGTAAATCTACTATCCCAACTCAGCCACAAAAGGAGAAAGAAGAAAGGAAACAGGATGGAACACATGAAATATCTTCTTCGTTTAGTACCACGACAAAATTTGCTTTTTCGACAACTTCCACATCTTCGTCGAGCACCCAAAGTCTTGGCGAAGGTGTCATAACTACCACGACATCAATTATCAGTAGAGTTGAAGAATTCAGTGAAACTACAACGTCGTTTTCTAGTTTCTCTACAATAAACCCCAGCCGTACTTCTATGGACGTAACAGCAACCCAGATTAAAACTTCATTGCCATCTCTAGATTCTTCGTCCAAAATTGACGAGAATTCTGATATAGAAATTAAAATAAACCCATCCCGAACCCAGCCAGCAGAGACGTCTTGTGACTCTACACTTCTTGACCACCAAACTGTTACAAATGCTATAAAGAAAAATGTCAGAAATATGGGGGAAAAGCAATCTGTATCAACCTCATCAGTAAAATTTGGTAATACATTCGGTCCAGAAATTGTTGGCAAGTCTTCCCGTTTGCCAAATATGCCACTTTTTTCTACCCAAACTGTAACTGTGACGGTGACAGAAATTCTGCCAAGTATTGGCTCAACCGACACTAATAGCGCAGACCAGTTTAAACCAGCAGTCACAAAAACAGAAATAATTATACAGCCTACGATGACAAATATGACGATTTCAAATAACCTAGAAATCACCAAGAATTTGAAAACAAGAAATGATACAACGAACGTTACTGCAAGCAGTTCCCAAAAAGAAATATCAATGATGTCCCACGACGTTCTCAAAGGTGCAGTTTCGAATACCAACTGCAACGAAAATTCGATTGACTCTAATTCCATAAAGGAAGATAAGACAGAGTCTGTACAAACAGAGACAATGACGAGAAATCCTGTGAACATGTTAGACGAAACTAAAGATAATACAGAGAACACATTGACTTATTCCATTGTAAAACCTCATCCCCGTCGCCTTGTCAATGAATACGACGAAGTTATTCCACCAACTCTAATTTCTCCTGATCTTTTGTGATTTGAATAACATTATGTAAAAACAAAGAGACGGTACGTTGTGAAAAGAAAACTTAATGGCTAACGTGTTGCTAATTAAGTCGACACTTAATTTGGATATCTAACTTTTCACTACTTCGTGAGTAAAGTTAATTTAAATTCTGATGAATGTGAAACTACCCATTTCCTTATTAAATACCACAACCTGAGTGAGATGTCTCGAAAAAGTAATTACTGTTAATAACTGTGAAAAGGTAACCAAGGATGTATTATCGTTAGCTACATAATATTTTATTGCAACATTTTGCAATAAGCATTGTGATATAGGAAACGAAGTGATAAATGTAGTAGGTGTAATAGAAATTGATATGAAAATAAAATAATACTATATATAAAATTACTCATGTATTTAAAATGTATGTCAAAAACAGTCAAAATAATTTGTGATTTTCTAAAAGATTTATAAGTATTTTCACGGAAAACAAAACATGTCCCTAGGTGGGTCAGCGATAAGTTTACAGACTTATAACGCTAAATTCCGGAATTGGATTCCCCGCGGTGGACAGGGTCACTCTGTGTCTTTGCTTTAACAAAAACCCACAATAAATAACAATATGATGTGATAAATATTGCAAAATAAAAACATAGGAAATAATTTTTCAAAAGTCCCCGGTGGCTCAGCGAGTTGTCTGAGGGCTTACTGCAATAAACCTCGGGTTTCAGTACTCGTGATAAGCACAGCATAGTTAGCCCATTGTGAAGCTTATTCATATATAGTCCGGGCATGACCTGGTACCTAGTGTGCTTGGTTGCATAACAAAAGGTTCAAGACTCGAGTCGCTATATGCCAGTCATTACACTTCTTACTTTCAGCTATTATGGCGTTATAACAATTACAGTTAATATTGATATTTCGTTAGTGTAGCCCCCAATGGCAAAGCGGTATGTCTGCGGACTTACAACGCTAGAAACCGGGTTTCGATATCCGTGGTGGGCAGAGCACAGATAGCCCATTGTGTAGCTTTGTGCTTAATTAAAAAGCAAACAAACAAAAATTGAACCAATAAATCAAATGATATCACAAAATTATTCGTTCAATATATTATATACAATATATTATAGGGGTGCCCCCCCCCAGTAGCATAGCGGGATGTCTGCGGACTTACAACGCTAGAATACTATGACATTATGTAATGTTTTCGTAAAAGTACTAATGTCCGATGGGAATCGGACATTATTTAAATGGTTTTATAATGTTCCAACTTTATAAATGTTCCTGGTCAAATATCTGAAGTGTCCCGATTAATAAGCGTTATGATAATCACAATTATAGCTTCCGAAGTTTATAGCACACCAACTGTAGTAAACCAATAATAGATACTCTTTTTGGCGCGTCGCGTTGGTTATATTTATAGGCGTGTGGAGAGTTTCTTGCAATTTCAGTATACCTAGCAATACTGACGCTAACGCTAGCGTTTACATACACACATATATTGTTGATTCTTACACTGGAGAATCTTCTGCAACTGTAGAGAATAGGCGGGAGTTTCGCAATACATATTTAACTGTATGAGTTATGTACATTTCTAAACACGAATTTAATTTAAACAAACATCAATATTAAAATAAATATATAATAGTAAATCCGTCACACTGGTCACTCTCCGGTCAGAAGTTCAGAACTATGAATGGATGTGCCTATGTTCTGAAGTCTCTGTCCTTTTGCTTAACACATTTGTTGCATAAAGTACGGTTCAGATTGAAAAATACCAGTTATTTATAAAAACAAGGAAAGGCCTCTTGGATGCTCTCGCCATCTACTGGTTGAGTTTGTAAATTAGTAATCATCTTTTATTATGCTGTTCTTTCCTAGAAAGTCATTTTATGATTCTTACTATAGTGTAGTAAATGAGGACAAATAAATTTAAAACTGTAATATTTGTAATTAAATAACACAAAATAATAAATATATTTTTCTAATCGAAATAAAATAAGTATTCTCAAGATATTTGTTATAAAATAAAATAAAGCAAGCAAATCAAGCGTAGGCGGTTATACACTAATTGTAATACTAATACAACTTGAAGACAATTGTAACAAAGCACAATAAACTCAAGTAAGTTATACATAATTATAAATAAAAAAGAATATGAAATTAACAAGAGCTCAGCCATTTAGAACAAAAAATTACCACGCCAAAAATTAATTATTACAAAATAAAATTCAGCAATATACAGATAATCGCAAGAAAATATAACAAAAACGAATATACGGTCACTTCCCAAGTACCAAACAGATTTAGGAAAGCCGACAAAGCAAAATTATAGAGGCTACGTTCGTTTTGTTTTGTAAACCATAGATAAACAAATTTAAAATATTTCTAGGAAATTTATTATGAAACAAAACACAACTGAAGATCATAAGTACTTATGATGAACCAAAACCCCCCTAGTTGCACAGCGGTATGTCTGCGGACTTACAACACTAGAATCCGGGTTTCGATACCCGTAGTGGGCAGAGCACAGATAGCCCATTGTGTAGCTTTGTGCTTAATTAAAAACAAACAAACAAAAATTGAACCAATAAATCAAATGATATCACAAAATTATTCGTTCAGCTACTTACGATAGAACAAAGCAAAGATTAAGGAAACTGATTTTGTTTTGTTAGAAAACAAAATTAAGGAAATAGGCTATACTGTTGCATGATCAAGAGCTCTTGGAACAGCAGCCCGAACAGGAAAACTGAAATTTAGAATGTTTCATTATGCCTGAATTCCAAGAACGGTGTGATTTATCACAATAGATGTAAGGCCGGTGAAAGCATTATTTATCATGATAAAATGTGAATATGTTTCCCTAGGGTATTATGTATCTTTTGAGGTCACTGACCGTTACGTGGGTCACACACACATGTGTATCAACACACATAAATGCATTAAGGAACTCATGTACTCAGTAAAATAAAAATGTCGGATTATCGAAACTTTGGAATCCAGACTGGGTACTGTGATGACTTGGTAATTTTTAAATACTTGAAACTTAAATCACTGGGCTTTTTATTTATTACTTATTTATTGAAGCTCTTTGGTCAAGGGATATGATATCGTACGTTGGTTTGTACTTGTAGCTCGGTTTTCAACTCAGTTCAATGTTCAACTAAATATGTAATTGTCTAATACAAAACGTTCTGTTTCATTAAATAATTTCCTGCACACGATGTGTAATTCTGCAGGACTACTGGTTGCTTGAAGAGTTTTCAGTTCCATATTGTGATGACAACATTGTTTAAGAAGATTAACGTCAAAATTATTAGGGAACTGACGAACAAGCTACATTTTCTACACTTTGACTCGTAATCAATGAATATGGCAGATTAGAGTGTTCAAACTCTTATGTAGAGTCATTTAAGCTTGAGACATAAGTGTATCGATGGAAACTGAACAATTCAACACATTTGCAATGTCCTTTCTTATAAAGGGTTTGATTATATCATCAACGTTACAGGAACATAATGTGGTAAAAAGATATAGCACTGTGAATGTGATATAAGAGGAGAATTTGGACTATTTAAGAAGTGTTTTCATGCGTGTGGATTAGTTTTGTTCTTGCTACATGTCCTGTAATGCATGAAATTAATTTCATTTGATCTGGTTAACCTTTAGGGTAATAAATGTCACTCTGATTAACTAAATTTTGTAGTTTATTATTTGTGTAATGTATTTCTGGAACAAACAAAAACTTTCTGGTTATATTAAATATTATTATACGCACCGTTTGATTTTGTTCCAGTACATTTCCAAATTACAGAGCGTTCTATGGAAAGTTTAAAATGAAAAACTCAGTACTTAATACAAATATACTTTATTTGCCTTTGATGATGTTTTTTTCTTCTTCTTCTTAATACTCCTCTACGATCAAAAGAGAAAATATAATATACACCTGTGTAAACATGACAGCAGCATCTAAACTGGATGGAACTATGCATCATAGATCAACATCACGTGGAATCTTAAATCATATCCTAAGTAAAAACTGTTTCAACTTTACTTCCAGCATACTATAACAAAAAAAAGTGATGTAAAGAGTAAAATAATTTCTGTTAATTCATTCATGAATTAGAATACTGAGCTTCAAAGATCATTGTGTAAATTAACAGGGAATGAGACAACATTATGGTATTCTAACAATACAATGAGAATATAAGATATCGTTATAAAGTAATTCCAAGACTTTTCCTTTACAATTTATAAACATAATATATCATTTAAGATACCCCTAGTACAATCAGTTATATAACTGCGCAAAAAATACACAAACGGACTCGTTTACCTACACTTTAAGTCGACTTATTCACTCTCATTTGGATGAGTATAGTGTACACTACAGCATTCCATGTGTGGCTTGGAGACATTTGATAGTTTATATTTTAAGAAAATAGAAATGTTATCTCTCACATTCGAATACGATATAATACTACTTTATCAACATAAAAAACATGTTAATTATAAACGTACTTAATATTGTGTGTTGTTATATAAATCAGTATTGTATATTATTCAAATCCTATATAAATACAGGTTCACTGCGGTTAGTAACAAAATCCCAAAACACCGTACTGTTATAAACAGTTTTGAAAAGTCCCCCTTATAATTTTACTGCAGGAGATCTAGTTGTGTCAATGATATTTACCTTGATAATCTGAAGATTTCTTTACGTCAATCTTCTAGACAAACCTCGGCATGTTGCTCATCATCTCTTTGTTTGTTTAGTGCAAAACTACACAAGGGGCTATCTTTGCTGTGCCCACCACGAGTATCGAAACCCGATTTTAGCACTGCGAGTCCTATTTACTTAGTCTTGTTACTTTGTCTCCTGTTAACTTTAACACACTCCAATGGCTTTATCCGCGAAACCTACAGCTTATAGTATTGTAGTGAGAAGGTACTATTTTATTTGAATTATTCAGTAGACAAGCTCCTTTAAAATACTGTAAAATAAATATGAAACCCAATATACCAAT